CTAATATAATAATAATAATAATAATAATAATAATCATCATTTTTATTATCATTCTCACATAATCAAAATAATAACATTTTCATTATTATTAAAATCTATAACAAAAACATTAAGAATAAAATAATAATAATAATAAAATAATAATAAAATTAATAACAACAACGCTAATAATAACATAAATAATAATAATAACCATTATCATCATTACATAATCAAAATAATAACATTGTCATTATTATTATTATTATTATTATTGTCATTATTATTATTATTATTATTAATAATAATAATAATAATAATAATAAAATAATTAAATTTACAAAGTTTAAAATTTTTATTAATTTTAGTATTATTATTGACTAATGTGAAAATGTTCATCTGAGTTATGTATAATGCAGTTTGTACAGTAATATTTTGCTGTCTTTTACAAGATATATTACGGTATATAACAAACTTGCTTTATTTACCAAAGAAAGTGGATCTAATTGGATTTGCATTTTAAACATTAAATAAAACTTAAAAAGATATTATTTTATTTCACATATTAAGGTTTTAGTTCTGATCCTCCCAAAATAATTCCGCAGAAATCCGCAAACTTGTGCCGAGATTCTCCGCAGAAAAAGCAAAACACATCTGCAGATTCCGTCTGGTCCTAGACATACAGTGATAAATTCCAGTAAAACAGCACTCTTCCAGCAGTCCTTCATATTCTCATCCAATAATTGTCCCGGGGCATGATCAATATGTTGCTGAATGAGAGTGAATGCTGAACTGCAGTTAAAGTCTAATGAAACACCCGAAATTAGATGAAACTCTGGAAGAAACGCTGGATAGCCTGGGGATGCCACATTAATTGTTTTATTTTGAAACTTTTCTTCTAAAAGCGCTTCCTTGGTCTTATCCATATTTCTTTGCACGTTAAACACACGTCTGCCACAACAGGAAATAAAATAAACTGCAACTGTGTTAATTTTTTTAACGCGTTAAATATTACAAATCAATTGCTTGTGTTAACGCGCTAATTTTGAAAGCACTAATATAAATAAATAAATACACAGTTGAAGTCAGAATTATTCACCTTTTGAATTTTTGTTTCTTTTTCAAATATTTCCCAAATGATGTTGAACAGATTCGGGAAATGTTCACAGTATGTCTGATAATATTTTTTACTTCTGGAGAAAGTCTTAATTGCTTTATTTCGGCTAGAATAAAAGCAGTTTTTTAATTTTTTAAACACCATTTTAAGGACAAAATTATTAGCCCCTTTAGGCAATATTTTTTTCAATAGTCTGCAGAACAAACCATCGTTATACAATAACTTGCCTAATTACCCTAACCTGCCTAGTTAACCCAATTAATCTAGTTCAGCCTTTAAATGTCACTTTAAGCTGAATACTAGTGTACTGAAAAATATCTGGCCAAATATTATTTACTGTCATCATGACAAAGATAAAATAAATCAGTTATTAGAAATGATTTATTAAAACTATTATGATTAAAAATGTCTTGAATAAAATCTGCTCTCTGTTAAACAGAAATTGGGGGAAAAAATTAACGGTGCTAATAATTCAGGGGGGTTAATAATTCTGACTTCAACTCTCTCTATATACAAATATTTATTTATTTATTTATTTATTTATTTATTTATTTATTTATATATAAATATTTAAAATGTGTTTGCATTTGCAACTCTTTTTTTAAGCATTTGAAATTATGTTTGGCAACGTTTTATTAATAGTTTTTGGTATGTTTGTTGATGTTTGCTGGTGTAAAGCAACCTTGGGTCTCCAAAAAGGCACCATTTATTAAATGAATTAGAAAATGAATTATTATTTTAACTCACGGTGCATTAACTAATGTTAAAAAAACATTGAATTTCAATGTTAATAATGCAGTAGTAAATGCTGAGCTGTGATTAATAAATGCTGTACATGGGCTGTTCATAATTAGCTCATGTTAGCAATTACATTAACTAATGAAACCTTATTGTAAAGTGTGACCAACAAATTTAAGTGAATTAAACATAAAACAATCAAGTTGTCACAAAAAAACTCAAGAGTTGTGTCGTTTGAGCTCATTTTCAATAGTTTGAACAATCAGAAAGATCAGTTTTTGTGTGTGTGTGTGTAGCCTATATTTGACTGTATTAAAGGGAAAGTTTTCCTCCCTTGTGCGCTTTATGACCTAAAAACTCTGAGAAAACACCGATTCTGAATGGAGATTGATGATAAAACGATGCCAGAATGATTGATTTTGAGTGAATGTTATAAGTGAAACATTAATTAAACGCTTCCACAAATCTGTCACTTAGATATAATACAATACTCTCCCTCTTTTACAGACAATAATTCACTGACACACACGTTAAACGTTGTTGTGAATCAATATAAAAAGTGAAAGCACACACTTTCATCAGTATCATCTGGAAAATTATGAATTGTGAAATAAGTTTGGTACTCACTCGAGTGAATCATATTTACTGCAGTCCGTGCTGATACCATGTGTGTGTGTGTGTGTGTGTGTGTGAGGTCTGAACCTGAAAGCGGAGGAAAGATTGACGTCACACACTCACACTACGCTACAGGATGTCACTTTCTGCCAGTCACAGCCTCTATAAATAAAATATATCTGCATATGAGCTCACTCTCACACGTTTTTCAATGTTTATTTATTTTTAACTATTTCTCACTTCTCAGTTAAGCTAGTTTGAAAATCCTTGTCAATTATTCACCTAAAATTATTACATTTCTTATTTATACAAGTTTTAAACGTTTTTTACAGACGCTGAGACACAATTACTCGGGTCACTTTTGCAAAACTCTTCACACAATTCTCCTAACCAACTTTCAGCTGGGCAAAGCAGTTCATTTCACATTCAGAATGCACTACAGCTACCAAAACACTTGATTCAGGTCTCAAATAAACTCATTCTAAACACCAAAGGTTGACAGCCCACACTTTGTCACCCACAAAACAGTAAGCTAAAAACACTAATAACATGTAGCATTACACTGTGTAA